TTTTTTTTTTTTTTTTTTTTCACTTCTGTGAAGAGTGGCACTTCAAAGGTTTCAAAAGGTCCCCAGCGATGCGAAGACTTTTAGTGCGCAGTTTACAGGCTGTTTGTTTTTGTTCAGTTTGGGTGGCATATAATTAACCTTTGCAGAAGAATAGGATGTAGTTGGAGCATCTACCTTTGAACGAGTGGAAATTTAACCTCTGTGGGAAAAACGCACTTGGCGTAAGTACAAACGTCTGGCCGCCAAAGTTCGCGGCACCTCATAAACCTTCACGGCGATCGGTCGAATAACAAACGTTATTGCACGACCAGTCTGATATCCCCATATACTTCTAGGATATAGCTCAGAAAAAGATAACTGCAGCTTTCGACTTACATAGTGAAGAAAACATTGCTTTTCTTGTCTAATCTTCCGATATATCCTGTTGTGTTCCATGCAGGTCACTTAAGGTCAAGGAACTCTTTACTTTCAACCCTCCGGCGAGGAATATGAAATTTGTCCCCGCAAATTGTCTGAATTTTTGGGAGTGGCAATCACGGAATGAGGATTTCTTCCAAACTTTTATTTTGTGGAAAACCGGACACAGAACAATTTTATTCGACGTAGATCTAAATGTCTTTAATTTTGGATGTATGTGTATTAGTATGCAAGTTAGTCATTTTCTTCGAAAAAGTAAACTGAGGATCGTTACGAACAGGTGCGGTTCAGACAGTTTAGAAATATGGACCGAAAAAATTCTTTCTCCAAGAGCGAAACCGCAGACATTAACACAGTACCACCCGATATATGACTGTTCACAAAGTAATTGCATAATTCAAAAGTCACATTGCTCATTGAGTTGGAGCAAGTAATGGATCCCAAATATAAAGGAAAGATCATATCAAAATAAGACTTTGCTAGGTAGCGTAACCCCTAGAAATGATTAACATGTAACTTCTCCCCATAATATCCGTACATCATCCAGCAAACAGGTAATGAGAATACTCAAAGTTATCAGGCAAAAGTTGTTATCTTGATCCAACTCCAAATTCTGGCAACTAATTCACAAAGAAGTATATAACAGCTAGAGGGGGGAATTAACAACCAGATCTTGGGATGTACACCAGCACGTGCAAGGAATATGACAAGATAAGATGTGATGCGTTTGTATGGGCAAGCCATATGCCCCACCCCCTAAGGGGTTAATTTATTTGACGGGTCATTCGGGCAGGCTGTACCTGAACAGAACACAGTTCCTTATTGCGTAGCTTAACTTTGCAAGAAAAAGTTAACCACGAAGGGTCACAAAAAACAAAACAGAATGTTAGGAAAATAGTACTACTTAGTTCCAAGTACAGCTTCGCCGTGAAGGAAGCCCAAAAATGTGATTATGAAATTCAGAAACAGAATAATCGGGTCTCGGAAATACGACGAACTTGCAAGAATCGAGGAGACGCAAGGCTGCGGAGATCGGAATCGATCTTTACTCGGTTGACATCGATAAATAATCGTCGGCAGACCAAAACCGCAAAAAATCAACGCTCATAACATAATACATCACTGTCATCTTTAGATATTGACAGCTTTTAAGTTGGTGCTAAACTGCCAATACATCTGTTTCTTTGGCGACAATTAGGCGACACAAAAAGGAAAAAAATATGTATTAAATTAGGCATACAAATGAACGTCGCACGAATTCTCGAAACATCTATGTATGTATACTTTTATCTGTTCAGGCCTTAAATCGGAATCGAGTTTTAGGTTTTGAGATGCATTAAATTCCATGAGCAAGGCAAATGAATGGACGGTTTTTTCTTCCTACACCCGCGAATTTAGTTGTTGCAAGCAATGACAAGGTGGCTTTTCCTATCCGCGAACCTCAGTTAGATTTTAAATAACTACCTTTCAAAAGGAACAACGAAAAGTTTACTTATTACGAATTAAGAAATATTTTAAAATGCGCGATTTAGGTGAAATAGCTAACAGCTTACCCAAGAATCGAAAATCTAACTTTCCAAGCACAAGATAACACCATTAACTTTTGTAACAGTATACGTTTCAAAACAAACCTCCAGGCTTTGTTCCATTAGAAAACCATAACAAATAAAAAGTTCTGTTAGCTGACTTACCCTAAGCTTCCTTTTTGTGAAGGTAGTTTTGGTTTTTGAAAAACTCTGCATGACTGCCTCCGCGCTCTTATCCACGAGCCGTTACATTAATCTTCTCGCAACAGACGCCACTTTCAAAGACTTACGTGATAAGAATGCAGTACACTGTTTGTTATCAGAATCTCGAACCTACACGTCCAATAATGTTTGTTTATCTTTTCACAATTATGTTTCAGTCGCCCACACTCGACCTCAAAAAAACTCGTTAAAAGTAAAAAGGGCGTGGCTATATATCAACCCGATTGTTATCTGCACACAAGTGACGCAGTTTAAAAATATGATACTGAGCTTTTTGCATCTCTTCGCATCAAAACGTTTGTCTGCCAAAAAATTGCCGATCACCCTCGTACAAGCTTTTACGTGAGTAATTTTTCGAGTCGACGGTAACTTATCCGGTATCCAGTGTTTTTTCCGGTTGTTTGCAAGCAGATTAAACTGGTGATTCATGGTGATAAGTGTACTAAAGTTAGGATACTTGCAACGAAAGGAAACTCATTAGGAGCTATTGAGACAGAAATGCGATAAGTTGTCAGCTCAAAGTTTTCTTTTACCAGAGATAACGGCCTCAAGGAGCTTTTACAGACATTTTCTTTGTCTTAAGGTGCTATGTTGTGAAATATGAAAGATAAACGTGAACATATTGGATTCAGTGGCAATTTGATTTTATTTAAATAGTCACGGTGGAATTTTTATACAAATACGAACCATCAAAACCACACGCACAAGAAAAAGCATGTCTTAACAGCTTAGAATCGTTCATATGGATGGATGATCGCGATTTTTCTTAACAAGTTCACAAGCAAAGGACTTGCCACAGCAAACGGTGCCGAAAGAGGTAAATCAAAAAAGCTTTCACAGGAATAGCTGCAAAGTGACTGTTACGTGGGTCTCAACTGCACACTTCACTCTCCTATGTAGCATGATTAGGACCAGCAAAGGAAAGCACTACTCAGAATGGTCATTTGAATGGTCACAAATCTCTCAGACAAAAAAGGTTAGATCCGTTTGACAGCATGATAACACTGCCACATGAAAGAAACAAGCAGCAACTTCCATTTGAATGATTACTCACGAGTGCCGTACCTTCATTTTCACCTCGAAAACTACCTTTCATAGTACAAGACTCGCGCACGAAAACCCAGATGCATTCTTGAATAACGGTCCTGCAATTTCTGATATTCTCTACTTACACACTACATACGTGAAGGTCTGAGATCTATCTTTACACGTGTCTTTGTTGGCAAAATCTCAAGACTAAAATTACCAAATTTGATTTCCAGGCATCCATGGTGGGTCTTGGTTGAAAGGCATACCGACTTCATGTAAGTCGTCAAAACAAAACAAAGGTTACTCAGCGAAAACAGGGAGATAAAATCAGTCTGATCGTACCATACTTGAGTATATAATTATTTCTCTCTCTGGAGAGCACGACTTGGCGAGGAGAGAGACATTACCAGAACATCGATCTAAATTTATATAAACGAAACTGCATTTTCATCTAAACGTAGCATTGCATGAAACGAGGGTTTACTGATGAAAAGAAAAAGTACAATGGACGTCGTTACAGCTACATAATGATGACAAACGTGAAATGTGCACTGATAACAAAACATTCTTTTGCATGTCCCTTGATAAACAAATTCCTTGAAAGGAAAGGTTAATATCTCGTATGGCTTTGAATGGTAGTAACAAGATATTCCAGCCTTGGGTATCTGAGGGTTTATTTTCATAAGGGACTAAAATAGACTAATTTAGATTACAAGTGAGGTAGAGATAATTGATCCGGAGTTTAATTGAAGACTTTTAATTTCTTGGAACTTACTGAAGTTTAGCCCACTGAATAACGACGAGTAATTGACCACGGATTTATAAATAATCATCGTTTGCGAATTCACATACACCAATTCAGGAACTTGAAGCGTCAGAAAAAATGGTAAAACCACTATTTGGACTCTGCACGAGGACCAACATACAATTCACAATTGTTTCGTTTGCATGTTAGGAACCTACATTTCGACGAGATGGATGCATGAAAGCGTGGCAAGCCGGAGATTATAACTTCTTGTGCGTAGTGAACAAGAACTAGACGGGTCTACTAGACACAAGTACGTCCCATTAGCTTCTGTACGTCTTCGCTTCACAATCGTTGGAACACCTTGAAAAACTTAGCCCAAATTTCATGTTTGTCATCCACTTGATTTACTTTTTAATTTCAGTGCTTTTTCATCCTACCGAAATATTATTTTGTGATTTCCTTGACTCTAAAAGTAACTTCGCATGTCGGAACAAAAACGAGTCAAAACTGTATTGGGACGTAGTGTTTTTAAATAATAAAAGCTATGAAATCAAGCAGGACCTCGCTTGAGAAAATTTGGAGCGAAGTGACAATTGATAACTGCAAGAATACGCTTTGTGAACAGTTGATAGTGACCTATTAATTATCGTGTCCTCAATTATTGAGGACACAATCAATAATTTGATGACATGAAAATCCCTGCTACAACAGATGCAGAAGGGAGATTTTTTGTTTGTCAGTCATGAGATGGCCAAATTTTAAATTCTCGCAAAATTCCTCATCTGATCTCAACGTGTTACATTCAATTCCAAAGTTCCAAAGCTCCCTAGCCCATAATATTCCTTGGGCCAATTCTTGATTCTGTCACTCCTCTTAGTAGTCTCCCTCGCAGCCGTTTTTTTTTTTATGTCACGCAACGCTCCCCCATCTTTTGGGGGAGCGTTGCGTGACATCCAAAAAAAAACGGCTGCGAGGGAGACTTTCCTCTTAGAGGACAATTTCAATATCAACGCACTTTTCTCGGAAAGCCCAATGGACTGAAAACAGGTTGCGGTTGTTGCATCTCGATAACTTTTTAGTCTAAATCAAGCTAGTTATTTGTAGTTTATTTTCATCTTCTTCATCCTTGGCGATCTTGTTCGTTCCTGTTTTATCATCGCTTCTCAAGTATTTTACGTACTTTGTGTCTTCCCCGATAGAATTCAGCTCACAATGTAAACTACTGGGTTACCAGTAATCGTGTTAGCTATTAAAGGTTATTTATTTAATTCCTAAATTTACTGTCTCTTTCAAATTGAAGACACCAGGCTTTGCACGTCACAGAAATGACACCTCAAATAGTCCCTAGATAACTCGAGAGGTCGATCCATATTAAAGTATTTTGCTCATCTCTGTTTTGCTAAGGGGGACAAAAGTTCACGCCGATAACCATCTTGAACCCCCGTTTTAACCTTCATTGTTTCACCACTAATCTTTTTTCATGCTTTTCTCCTATTTGGTGCCTTAATTAAGCGAAATCTCAGTGCCATCTTGCCTGTAGCGAATTCAACCCGTCTTGTTTATTAAAGGCTTAACCATTTTAGTGGAAGTTAATATCCGAGTGCCCGAACTTGTCTTCCAACTTCTTTGTTCCTGAAGCCCTACTTTAATATTCCGAAACCTCTGAACTATATATATATATCTCCATGGACCTCCCGCGGAAACATTCCAAAACTTTGACTGTGGTGTACGTTCGTTGCCTAGTCTTAAAATTCAGGAAACTGGGTTCACATCTCGACCCAAATTGTCAATATTTTTCTTAATTTAGGAAACTGAATTCACTTCTCGTCCCAAATTGTCAATACCGAGTCAAATAGTTGCTGATATCAAAATATTTATTATTTTTGTTTGTTTTTTTTGCTTCTTATATATGAGATCCATTACAAATCAAAATTTAGACCCACCTTGAGTTATCAGTGATTTGGAACTTAGTCAATTCATTTTACACGACTGAACAAAAGGAGTAACTGGGTGTAAAACACTAAACAATAGCTTATTGTCCAGGGATATTTCGTGGGCAAGTATGGAAAGACCCCACACGTCTTCGTGCACACTTTGCATGAAAAAAAAAAAAAAAACATGCGTACAGGAAGCACGAAGAAAACTGTGATTATATTTCTCGTAAACGCATTTCGAGCTGTAGGATGTTTTTCAGATGCCGCAGAAATAAAACTGATTTTGAGATTATGGGCTGTGGCAAGTGAACATTTTGTCGTTTCAAGACGCTTTCGAAGATGCAAAAAAGTCTTCATTTTGGGCATTACTATTTCGAGGCAAATGTGTGAGACAAAATATATCTGATAAGCTATCAAACTGCTAGCAGATCTTAAAATCATTTTAGCCCACACAAGTGGAAGGATGTAATTTCGTGGTGTGAAAAAAGTCTCGGAAGGGCTTTGCAAATTCCAACACGATTTAATTTTCACCAGGTAATGAAGTGTCTGGGAAAAGGTTGCTTTGGCAATTTAAAAATCATATTTTGAAATAACTTCACCGGCTTGTCTTCGATCATATCTGAAAGAAAGGAAACTGTTGAAAGGTAATTAGATCAAGAACTCAAAACTGTTGTCGTCTTGTTGTCTTACGACAGTTAACTATAGAGAAGAAAGATTTCTTTTGTGTAATTTCTAAATCCAGCTGAAATACCAGTCGCTGATGGCTTGCTGGTGAGGAGTCAGCTTGATAGATCTTACAGATGCTGTTTTTAAGAGCAATATTATAAATTATACACTTTTAAAACGACAAAGTCTGGGTTTTTCGCTTGATTAGTTTTGTGGTTTCCTTTTGAACACAGGATTGACCACCATTTCCTACCCAAGGGAGTGTGGGTGAGGGCGAAATATTTCGTTCATTATTTACGGATGAATTCTACTGGAAAAATTAAAACATAAGTGCACGAGTTGTTCATCACGTTAAACAGTACGTTATGAAATGTTGGAACATGCACTCCGAGCCAACTCGGTCAAAATTGGAAGCAAAACAAAAACGAAAATTGTCTCACCTTATTGATGGCCGACCAAATCAAATCTGATATATATACACATTAGAACTTCAATTCCCCATAGATAACCTTAGAATATTTAGGTTATTCTATGCCTTCGGGAGAAAATAACGATGTTGCTCTTTATTCTTTGTGAGGAGAGGAATGAAAGAACGTCTTCAAAATTTGTGGTTGCGTCCGACAGGAAAAACAAAAAGATCGCCACAAAAAGAGCAA